CCCAGATCACATCTCCCACTAGGCCCAAAGGACCAGCTTGAGGACTTCTAGAAAGATGCATTCATTTTCTCTATTCATACGAGCTACATCTGGAAGTCAGAGCAATTGAAAGCTTGGATTTCATTTTATCATAATATCATCAATGCAGCTGTTTTCATCCTCTCTGCTTTTCATCCTCTATCATTCTATACTACAGATCTTACCTAGTGACAGTCTAGAATCCAAGCGGGAAGTGTTTCTTCTCCACTACCTCACCACCAACAAAATGAAAAACAGCACCAGGAGATTGGCCTAAATATTATTTCCAGCACAAAAAGGGAGCCACAAATATTGCTTAGAAAAAATTATCTGAGGATGCCTTACTTCTTCATATTGCTGAACAGTTGACCAAGAGTTCCAGAAAATGACGCACTGTTTACTTTAATTTGTTTGTATAGACATGACCACTGTATAAAACTAACAGACAGCTCAGTTCAGTCCCAGGTAAAATGAATCATGGAAAAACAAAGTGTTTGGGCTGTCTATATTTTCATTCTGCTTTAGTGAACTTTCTTTGAAAGACTTGGAAAAGTATCAAGATCTCATCAGATGTCTGAAAATGACAGACGTCCAAAAGCTTTGCCAGATGCAAGAGGCTTGCACCCGTGACTTACGAATGGAGATGGAAGTTTTCATGTGGCCCACCTTGTGCTTTCAGACTCCGATCTCAATTACATGACTCGAACAGCCATCTTCTAGACCTCATTTTCCATTATATCTTTTTTCTTCATTTGTTTTTCCTACGCTAGATGGATTATTTCTGAGGTTATGGTTTTCAGATATTTACATAGTATTTTCCATTGGTATCCTTGTAATTTTTCCTAAGGCAAGAATGATCTCTTGGCCGGTAATATCAGGGAAGGGAACACAAGATCATTTTTCAGAACACTGAAGAAGGAAAGATAAAAAAGCTATTGAGACAATGTTGTTATTAACCACCACTCTCCCCCAAAACAGTAATAATCACACTATTCTATGATTAAAACCAGACAGGAAATATTGAATTTTGTCATCTCCTCTGTCCAACTAGTGCCTCATGACTACACTAGATTATTATAGGAACATTTGTTCTGAACTAAATCTTCAGTCCTTTCATCCTCAGGGAAGACTTAACTAGGCAGGATCAGCATGAAAAGTGAGGAAAACATGAAAGACCCACTTTAATCTGGATTCCTTGAATCTGCTCCATCTACAGGTGAACAGGGATATTGTGTCAGGCCTGAAATATGTTCAGCACACCTACAGGACTGGGCTGAAAGGTAAGAGATCCCACCCCACACTGTCCTAAAATACTTCTCTCCAATACTTAAACTTCCAGTTATTACCAACTTTTAGTCACAGATGCATATAAGAATCTGATAAAAACCTGTGAGCTCTCACGAGAGGAAAACTCATACCTACACCTCTGGTCTAAACACTAATAGCAAGGCCAATGTTAAGAAGGCCTAGTTCAGGTCAACCACTAACCTACAGCAATTAGCATCTGGAATTCAACTATAATACTCAAGGCGGAAGAGTAACCATGACAAGTTTAAATAAAAGAAAGTACATAATACTCTCATCGGTATAAAAGCAGCTCACAGGTTTGAAACACTAGTGTCAGAGAAATTGAAGACAGAAAAGACCCATTTATTGCATGTGTCCTGGGGGTGAGAGTTGAGGGTCACATGGGAGTTGAAAGAAGTCAATGCTCAGTTTTCTAACGAACAAATGAAAAAAAGAAAAGTTCTGTCTAGGATTAAGAAAACTGTCAAATTAAAACAAATAATGTAACACCATTATCTAATCTGCGGTTGGTCCCACATCCATGGGGCATCTGCCTTCAGGTTTTCTTCATTAATATGGGCCGATGGAAATGCAAAGTGGAAAGGTGATGGAAATACTTTGCCAGTTCTTTTTCTTAATCTGAATGACTCCCTTCCCCAGAAGTGGGAAACAGCAAAGCATAGGTCAGTTCTACCAAATTAATCAACCAAGGATAGAGGAGAAATTGATTAATTTGCATGACACGAAGAACCAATCAATCAATCAAACTTCAGAGAAGGTTTTTGATCTGAAAGATGGTGCTATGCCTTTCCAATATCCAGTCTCTTGAAAAGATATTTCAATTTCCTATTTTCCTTTGGGAAAAAGACTATATTACTTCACTTGGGCAAACGGACAATGAAGTGCCTGCAGCTGTTCCTTCAAACTTACTAACACTTACCACTCAGCGACATGTTCCCCTGTCTATCCGCCTACTTTTTTTTATACATTTGATACTCAACTAGGTTTAATATGTATCCAATTTATTCACCAATAAATTATTTGGTTGGCCATATTCACTGTTTGTCCCAGTTCTTAATATTTTTACTTTTTAATTCAACTTACTGATTTAATCCTTCCATCCAATTTTATTTCCATGGATTTCACACATTCTGATCATCAGCCATTACCTTATCTCCCTACATTCATAGAATGATATGTTATAGACAAAAGAGCCTTAAAGTACATTCTGGAAAGGAATGGAGGCTCAAAAATGTTTTGTGACTCAGGACACATGCAGGACTAAGATTAGATCTCAGGTCTGAACTTGTTTGGGTTTCTTTTTTTTTTTTCTTTTAATGATCTAATTCACTTCACTTTTATAACGTCTTCATCCCTGTTGATTTAGAGTGGTATTGGTTCCCTCAATTTTTCTGCTACTCAGAATCAGCCATAGTGCTTTTTTAAAAACTTACCCCTGGAATGCACATAAGGTTACTAAGCCATTGTCTCTGGGTGTGGGGCAAAAGAAACTGTATTATTCAAAAACACTATAATAAAAGAAATTTTAGGGACCAGCAGATGGTACGGCAGTTACGTCACTGGACTCACACGTGTTAACTATGGTTTAAGACTTGGACTCACTGGCTTAAAACTCACACTGGGTTCATGTGCATACGTGCCCAAAATCCCTAGAGGAGAAGGGACTGCAGCATGGCCATCTCCCCGGGGTGGGGGTGATTTCTTACTCTCCATCTCTCTGTCTCTCTCTCCAGTGAACACACATGCCCTATAGCCAAAATAATCTCTCCCCCCCCAAAAAAAAAAAAATTTAAAGGGGGAAAAAAAAAAAGGAAGCCCAAGATAATGATGATGAGCCAGAATTGGAAACTCTTGCTCTTGGCTTTCTTCATCAGTGTAATCTGTATTCCAAAATCTCATGTTTGTGGCATATGTGTTTCCTCCACCAACCTCTTAAGCTAATGAAACTTTCTTTCTTCCTAGTGGATAAAGCAACATTTATGGTTGGCAGCTATGGACCTCGGTCAGAAGAGTATGAGTTCCTTACTCCAACTGAGGAGGCTCCCAAGGGCATGCTAGCCCGAGGCACATATCACAACAAATCCTTCTTCACCGACGATGACAAGCATGACCACCTCACCTGGGAATGGAACCTGTCCATTAAGAAGGACTGGACAGAATGAATGCATCTGCCCATCCCTTTCCCTCCCCTTGCCACCTGGAAGAATGTTCCTAGTCATGTTCATTGCCCTGTCCCTTTTGCCTGCTCACAGCTGGGTCCCTTCTCCAATGCTCCCCACATTCCCTTATTGATGCATCATATCCGCCCTGTTTCTCAGTGTGGCCCCTAGCACAAGAAGCTTAAATGCTAGGCTTTAACTCTGCTTAATCCCTCCTGTCCTCCAGCAGGGCCAGATCCTCCAAGTTCTCCATCTCCATACACAATCGTTTTGTGTTTCCTGCTCTTATTCCCAGCCAAATAATCAGAGACCAGGAAGTGGGCAACTATCACTAACAGTCCTTTTGCTATAGGTCCCAGTAATTCATCCCCATCCCTGAATCCTTCTGTGATTGCTGCTGGCTCAATGAACCCCTAGTCACATCCCCTACCAGTTGGGGTTCTTCTTTTGTGGGAGACACTGTAAAGAAAATAAGAGTAAAAATAAAACAAATATATATCTGACTGAGACCCTCATTTCTCTGCCTTCTTCCTTTGAACAAACATAATAATGAGTTGATTCACATTCATGAGTTCCCTCAGAGGGGCGGGGCCAGGGGAACACAGCAGAGGAGCTATTCACAACACTGGGCACTGATTAGTTCCTCTGTTACAGTGCAACGGACAAGGAGCATTCAGAACACAGACAGTAGAAAGTCAAACTTTAATTTCTCTTAATAATACTTTCATATAGAAACTCCTCTTAAACTTGAGACCTATAAATCTCACTGCTTTGGGAATCTCATTTTGCATTTCCTCCAGGAGCTTGAGGGTCAAATCAAATGCTGTTTCTTTCCTAAGTAAGACCTTGCAGGAGCTGCCGTCATGTACAGAGTCAAGTCCGAGCTCCCACACCTAGCTGATTGCCAAGGGCTTGCTGTGAGCTTTTGAGCTGGCCCCAGCATGCTTTTCTGCCCACATTTGTCACCATTTTCTTTTTTAGGTTTTTGCCATAAGTTGTGTGTGTTCTCAGAGACAAACAAGGAGAAGGAAAGTGAGAAATCAACCCAGAAGGAATGGATGTGCTGCAATCCCTTCTCCTCTGTTCTCTTCTTGGGATTTTGAATACACAGACACACATGCCCAGCATGATTTTCAAGCCCCCAGGTTCAGGACTCAAACCACTGTCAGCCATGATGAGGTCCAGCACCCTACCATGCCACCTGCTAGCTCCCATGGCTTTCCTTTTTGTCATTTTAAACTATGACTCATTCTCTCACATATTCTATTAGCATCTCTATGCTTTGGCTCTTCATGCTAGACTCCCTTTCCACCTTTTGTTGCCTGGAAAAGATCTTATTTATCCAGGACTCTGCTTAGGCATCTCCCGCAGGAAGAAAGTCTTTTTGGAATTTTATCATTGTTCTAGATGCCCTTCATCTGTACTCATAATACCCTATGGGTTTTCCTATTTTTTTTTAATCACGTTATGCCTTGTGCTTTTATTTTTTTCTTTTTAAGATTATTTACCACAGGGTATGTGTACTCACCAGAAAGAGACAGAGAAAAGATAAAGTGAGAAATCATCCTCCAGGGGGAGATGGCCATGCCACAATCCCCTCTTGAAATTACCACTAACAGTCCTTTGACCAGGACACTGGGCACACACACACACACACACACACACACACACACACAGCATGATCCCAGGCCACCAGGTCAGGAACTCAAACCAGAGTCAGCCGTGTGGGATCCAGCATCTTAACCACCATGCCACGTGCTGGCTCTCTGTCTTGTATTAAAATAATCTATTTGTCCAGATCGCCCATTAGCAGTCTGAATTTTGAGAGGCTGTAACAGATCCCAGGTTTCTTTGTATCCCTAGTGCTTAGATCAATATCTGCCCTAGAAAATGTCTTTTTGTTTTTGGAGAGAATTTTTCCTAGAGGGCGTATGCACTAGCTGGAGAGACAGAGACAGAGAGAGAGATAATGAGAAATCATCCTCCAGAGGGGATGATTATGCCCAATCCCTTCTCCTCCATTCTCCTCTTGGGATTTTAGGCACTCACATGCACACATGTGCCCATCATAAATTTCAAGCTTCCAGGTCTGGGACTTAAACTGCAGTAGGCCATGTGGGAGTCCAGTGCCTTAAGGGTCATACTATCTGCTGGCTCCCCGAATTTCATGTTTTTACTTAAATGAACTCACCTGACTTCCTTCTGTTTGGTTATGTTCTCAGGACTTGTCACTAAACTTGGTCTTTTATCTCAGTAGCTGAAGGTTCCCTAGAGACAGCTGCAAAGTTCCCAGAACACCCATCACCCCACAGCCAATTAACTACAGAGTGAAATTGGCATCCCATAACACAAAGTCCAGAGTTGGAGCGGGAGCAGGAGCCAGAGAGTGACAATGGCCCGGGACAGGTGCTGGCTTCTCTTAATTCTTTTCACATGTGGGCTGACGCCAGAAGTTGCTGCAGAAACTGAGATATCCTCAGGTAAAAGAAAAAAGTACTTGGGTGACCATAGGGTGAAAGTACTCTGGGTATTTGCTGTCTAAACCTAGGGAATTCTCCAGAAAATGCCAGATAAAGATATGTGCTGCCTGGTGAAGAGGAGGGAAGGCTGGCATATCCTTCAAAGGCAGACCATAAGGTCTGGTCACCCTCCCTATGTTAGTGTAATAAATAAAGCCTTGAAATGATAGACTCTAAAAACGGTGATCCTCACCTTCTGCTTCTCTCTCTCTCTCTCTCTCTCTCTCCCCCTCTCTCTCCCCCTCTCTCTCCCTCTCTCTTCCTCTCTCTCCCTCCCCCCCCCTCTCTTTCTCTCTGTCTAGATGGTCCTGTTGCTGCCCAGGAACCCACATGGCTCACAGATGTCCCAGCTGCCATGGAATTCATTGCTGCTGCTGAGGTGGCCATCATAGGCTTCTTCCAGGTTTGTCCAGGCACCCCACTTGCTATTCCTCCAAGAGCCAGAAATATTCTACATCAAGGGATCATGATAGTCACCTGCTGGCCAGATGTCACTGCCAGCAGAAGGCCAGCATCTGCCTTCTGCTTGTCAATAGAGACCTCTTCATTTTAAGACAATCCAGGTCTCCAAATTCTATCTTTCTTACCCTTGCTTCAAGAGTTCTGAGTCCAGGGACCAGCAGTTAGCATAATGGCTATGTCGCTGGACTCCCATGTAGTCGACCGTGGTTGGAGTCCCGGACCTGGTGGCTTAAACTCTCTCCAGGTGCATGTGCATGCGTGCCCAAGATCCCAAAAGGAGAATGGAGGAGAAGGGATTGCAGTGTGGCCATCCCCCCTGGGGGGTGATTTCTCGCTTTCTGTCTCTCTGTCTCTCTCTGCCTCTGCTGGTTCAGTCTACTGATGCTTTGAAGTTTAAGCCAGTATCTATAGGAAGAAAGCTTTCACCAAACTCTCCCTTTGCCCTGAATGTCTTTAGTCTGTACTCTCATGACATCTCATGAATTGGGAGGGACCAGAGCAAACCTAAGTTTTATCATCCCCGCAACACTTTTCATGGTGTGCCAAAGCCCCCTGGGCACTAGTCAACCATTACCTCTCTAGAAACCTTTCTCCAAATAGGTAGGCTTTCATGCTCCTCTTTGCTTTATCTGAAATGTTGAAACTGAATAACATTTTGTATGCTGGAAAAGTTAGCTTCCATCTTCCAGACTGGCTCCCTGACTCATAAAGGCAGCCAGAAATGAAAGGGCATCATTCCAACATTTTCAGTTTTCTCTGGTGGTAGCATCTGGCGATTCTCATCGCTGATCAGGCTCCTACTCTCCCGTTGCAGACCTTCTCATCTGTTTCCATCTTTAATGCCAGTGCACAGTCACCTCCTGATTCTGTGTAGACAGCTGGAAATAGTATGAGATGCCAAGTTGGGAAGGAAGGAAAACAGAGGGCCCGGTTTTCAGTAAGAGATTTGAACAGTAGACGAAAACAGCCAATCTCCAAAAGACAGAAAGGGCAAAAGAGTGGAAATGGAGCAGTTTGCAATAACTTAAAATGGCCACCAGATGCCATCATTCGATCCTTGAGCAATTACATTTGAAAGGACAGAATGAAAAAGAAACAATTGCCCATAGCCTCTGATGAGGTCTACACACCCTTGCAGAGAAGTGAGGTGCCAACTCCCTCTGCTTGGTCCCTGGATACAAAACTAGGCATCTTCTTGTCTCTTTGCACACCTCCTCTTTCAGGTAAGATGCGGGGAAGAAAATGGGCTGGGATCATCACTCTGGAGCCACTTCCTTGCTCTGTCCCTGCCAGCTGGGGCTGCAGAGTCAGATGCAGGAACAGTACTCTCATATGCAAATCTCGGTCTTCTCTACAATAGGAGAGGGACTGTTTCACATCCTGCATGCAACTTTGTCATTTCTTCTATTCTTTTGTCCTTTTTTTTAACCTTTTTGACAACACTTTTTCTTGCTTTTGCCTTTCTCCTTTTCTGCATAATTTTTTTCCCAAAATATTTGCCTTTACCAGTATATTAACAATAGTGGGAACCGCTATCTTCCAGTAATTCACCAACATGGCTAACACAAAGTGAAAGAGGACAGGCACCCAATATATGTTCTCTAGGCCTTTTAGAAAACATGGAGTCCTTCCTCTGGCAGCATGTATGGAAATCTACAAAAAAGTGGAATTGTACACATCAAGGGAAAGGGTACTGTTCAAAAAGGAATGCCCCACGAATGTTACCATGGTAAAATTGGAAGAGTCTACAATATTCCCAGCATGCTGTTGGCATTGTTGTGAACAAACAAGTTAAGGGCAAGATTCTTGCCAAAAGAATTAATGTGTATATTGAGCATAAGAAGCATTCTAAGAGCAGAGAGAGCTTCCTAAAACATCTGAAGGAAAATGACTTGAAAAAGAAGGAAGCCGGGAACCAGCAGTTAGCGTAATGGCTATGTCACTGGATTCCCATGTAGTCGACCGCAGTTCGTGTCCTGGACCCGGTGGCTTAAAACTCACGTCAGGCGCGTGTGCGTGCATGCCCAAGATCCCGAGAGGAGAATGGAGGAGAAGGGATTGCGGCGTGACCATCCCCCCTGGGAGGTGATTTCTCGCTTTCTGTCTCTATGTCTCTCTCTGTCTGTCTGGCGAGCGCACGCGCTCTACAGTGAAAATCTCTCAAAAAAAAAAAAAAAAAAAAAGAAAAAAGAAGGAAGCCAAAGAGAAAGGTACCTGGGTTCAACTAAAGCGCCAGCCTGCTCCACCCAGAGAAGCACACTCTGCGAGAACCAATGGAAAGGAGCCTGAGCTACTGGAACCTATTCCTCATGAATTTGTAGCATGATGAGTGTTAAAAATAAACTAATCTATGGCCTAGATAAAAAAAAAAAATAGTGCAGCACAACTCTGTGGGCCTTAATAAGATTTTTTTTTAAGTTTATTTAATTATTCAATGAGAGAGAGAGAAGACACCTGCAACCTTGTCACACTACGATTTTCTCCAGCTCCTCAGGATCCTGGGTGCCTACAAGTGTACCCCATGTGTTTTTTCAGCCAGACACATGATCGAAACTATGGTCACCATATGGTTTCCAGCATGCAGGGTGCACCCTTCACTACAGTGGCTGGGCTGTCTTCTGTGGTTTTGGGTCCTTTCTTAGCTACTAGTAATCTTGAAATTCTATGGTAAAGCCGGGCAGGAGTTCCAGGCTTAGTCACAGTTTTGGTGTTTACCTATTAACTCACAGAACCTGGAAAAGCCAAGAATGCCAATGCAAATTCAGCCTGCATTCTTAGATGCAAAAGTTTCGCTGGACACTAAGTCAAGTCTTTGATTTCTGGTACGAATAAGCCTATTTCTCTACCCTATTGTATGTCTTCCTCCACCCCCAAAATAACCTCTGTGGGGTTTCTGCTCTTGTTTTCAGGATTTAGAAATACCAACAGTGTCTGTATTTCATGGCATGGTGCAAAAATTCCAGAATGTGTCCTTTGGAATTAGCACTGATTCTGAGGTTCTGAGCCACTACAACATCACTGGGAACAGCATTGTCCTCTTTCGTCTGGTAAGTCGAGTGGGCAGCTAACACCCTCTCCCAGTTTTTCCTTAGCTGTGGACTCATAAACTTGTGTGACTGGAAAGGACTCTGTCTTTGACATTAATGATGGTGCCAACCTCAGGGACATTGTTGACAGGCTTGATGATTCAACTCAAGCTTCCCAAACAGGTGCCGTAATGAAACGGAAAGAGGACTGGACTGAGAGCCAAGAAATGGGATTTGTACAACAGCTTTGGCACTCACCAGCCATGTGACTGGCAGATTACTTAACAATTTTAGCTTCAGTTCCTTCATTTATAAAATAAAAGGGTAAGACCATATCACCTCTAAGGTCATTCTCAACTCTAAAATTTTATTTTTTATACTTTGACTCTTTGGGAGCTCACTTATGTTTATCAAACACTTGTTAAACAACTCCTGTGTGCCCTGAGCAAGATAATGATAACAAAGACATGATATATTCTCCATTCTCATAGATCTTACAATAGAGAATGTAAACATGATACCTAAGTCTCTATAATACAAAGACTATCACTATAAATAAAATGTTATAAGAGCTGGAAGGATAAAAACAGTATGAGATTTCTGAAAAAAAATAAATCATGAAATGACAGCTGAACTGATACCCAAAGGATAAACCAAATTTGGAGTTTCATCAGCAGGTGGTGCTGAATCCACATAGGCAACCCACAGTCTGAGTCCTGGACCCGCGACTTGAAAATCACACCGGGTGCATGTGCATGTGGGCTCAAAAATTCTGAGAGGAGGGAACCAGCAGTTAGCGTAATGGCTATGTCACTGGACTCCCACGTGGTCGACCACGGTTCGCATTCCGGACCCGGTGGCTTGAAACTCCCGTCAGGCGCGTGTGCGTGCGTGCCCAAGATCCCAAGAGGAGAATGGAGGAGAGGGGTTTGCTGCGTGACCATCCCCCCTGGGGGGTGATTTCTCGCTTTCTGTCTCTATGTTTCTCTCTGTCTATCTGGCGAGCGCACGCGCCCTATAGCGAAAAAACCTCTCCAAAAAAAAAAAAAATCCTGAGAGGAGAATGGAGAAGGGATCCTCCCCAGGGAGGGCGAGGGGGTGGAGTAATTTCTCACTTTCCATCTCTCTGAGGAGTACATGTATCCTATGGCAAAACCTTGGGGGGGGGGGAAAAAAAAAAGACCAAATTTGGACAATATGAAGAAGTCACAGGTCAAAAGAGAAAAATCAAACTCAGAAAACAGTAACTAGGCCTATTTGACTATATCCCAGGGTATGTGTTAGGGGAAATGAGCATAAGAGAGGGAAAATTGAGGGGAACCATACTGTGGAGAAATCAGAATACCAGCTTATTGGGTTTGACCTTAATTTGTTGATACTGGGATGCCCCAGAAGACTTTATATCAGGGAATGACATGATATGAACAGGAATGTGTTTAACATGACTTTATTAGCAATGATGGGAAGATGGCAAAAATAAAAATAAGATTAAAAAAAAAACAAGAGAACAGAGAACTAGTATTAAGGTTAACAAAGTAGATGAGATGAGGTGCATTAAGGGTCTGTTGTAGAAAAATAGCAACAGAAATTAAAAAGAGGCAAATCCTGCAATAATTTGATAACAAAATTACAGAAAGGAGGAAAGTTTAAAGGCAGAATAGGAATAATGAGGACCTGTAAAGAAGCAGGGATTTCTGACCTTTAGGTGGTTATTAAATTTTAATTATTGATGGAGTATCCAGTAAAGCTGTCAAGATTTCACTGGAAATGAGAAATTGGGACAAAAGATAAAGTTTTCAAGATTTCTAGATTGAATGTCTTTCCTCTAGCTTCCTTCCTCTCTCTTTCACTTCTCAAACTTCTTTTTTAAAAATGTATTTATGTATTTTTTCCAACAGAGAGAGAGAGAAAGAGAGGCATCCTGCAATAGGGTCTTCATACCATGATTCACTGTTTCAGTTAACTGGAATCGTGCTCATGTGAGCATGCAGGTGTGCTCTGAGAGAGCTCGGGAAACAAACCCAGGACCTTTCCCGTGGGGGGTCCAGTTGTGTTACCACTGTGCCACAACCCGCCCTTATAATTCTTTTAAGTGTATTTTAGACTTAGGGTATCTAGCTTTTATTTTGTCTGGACACTGCTACCTAGTTTATATTCTAACATTCCATTAAATCTATATTCATCTAGGTCAGCATGGCTTCCATATTGCCAAACCCAATGAACACTTTTTAGGTTTTATGTTAACGCAACATTTCTACCATATTTGACATCATTGATCATGCCTCATTCTTTAATATTCTTTCTTTCCTTGAATTCTAGAAGCCTACTTCTGATCTTGCTTTCTGAGTCTCCCTGAGATGTTCTCCTCCTCTATCTACCCTACTGCCCCATCCAGTGTGCTCTCCAATCTAGGTTCTGGAATCCTTGCCCTGTGAACATAGACACTGTTCTGTTCATTACTGCATCTATAGAGCCTAGAACAGTGCCTGCCATGTAACAAGTGTTCATAGGGTATATATGAATTAATAATTAGTGAATAAATATGTTCTCCTTAACTAATATAATTCTATATATTCAATTAGTATTGTTTGCTCAGAATTTAGAACATTTTATCTCTAGCCTAGATTTCCCTCATGATTCAAATGCTTACTGGATATAATCATTATTGTCCTCTCTTAAGCTCTACACTCTTAACATGTTCAAAATTGAATTTATTGTCTGCACTTGCTAGGTCATTTTCTTCCATCCAAAACATTGTTTCATTGAAGATGATGTTCACTCAGTCTCTAGTTGTCATTATCTGTACCTCTATCTTGAATCACATTCTCCTTCATGTTTCTTATCACTCTTCCTACTTCATTCTTTATTTAGGCTTTTAACATCATTGGCATAATCAATTTCAGCAACTTCTTTTTTTTTTTGGAGAAGTTTTCACTATAGGGCACATGTGCTCGCCAGAAAGACAGAGAGAGACAGACAGAAAGTGAGAAATCACCCCCCAGGAGGGATGGCCACACCGCAATCCCTTCTCCTCCATTCTCCTCTTGGGATCTTGGGCACGCATGCACACACTCCCAGCATGAGTTTAAGCCACCGGGTTCAGGACTCGAACCGCAGTCAACTACATGGGAGTCCAGCAACATAGCCATTACGCTAACTGCTTGTCCCAATTTTAGCAATTTCTTAATTGATCTCCTTTGACTACTTCATTTAGTTTCTACACTAGTACCACAATAATGTATTTAAGATGAAAACTTGTCCATGAACTCCTCTCTTAAAAACTCTTCAAGGATCAGCTGGTGGTATAGATTAAGGTGGCTGGGTCCCACATGGTCAACTGCATGATCTGAATCCTGAACCCAATACTGGACTCATTCATGTATGCCCAAAATCCCAAAAAGAGAAGAGAAGGAGAAGGGTTTGTAGTGTGGCCATCCCCCTTGAGCAGTACTGTCTCGCTTTCTCTCTCTCTCTCTCTCTCTCTCTCTCTCTCTCTCTCTTTCTGGTGAATACATGTGCACTCTAGAAAACAAAACAAAAACTCTTGGGACCAGCAGTTAGTGTAATGGCTATGTCACTGGACTCCCACATAGTCGACCACAGTTCAAGTCCTGGACCTGGCAGCTTAAACTCATGCCGGGCGCATGTGCGTGCGTGCCCAAGATCCCAAGAGGAGAATGGAGGAGAAGGGATTGTGGCGTGGCCATCCCCCATGGAGGGGTGATTTCTCGCTTTCTGTCTCTCTGTCTCTCTGTCTCTCTGTCTCTCTCTGTCTGGCGAGCACACGCGCACTATAGCAAAAACCTCTCCAAAAAAAAAACAAACAAACAAACAAAAAACAAACAAACAAAAAACCTCTTTAATGTTTACCATTTCTAATAAGATAAAAAATACATTTAATCTTACATGTAGTTTGTGTAACCTGGCTGCTACCTGCTTCTCCAAAACATTTTCCAACAAGTGTCCACCCTGGGCTGTACTTGCACAATACCAAGATATACACATATGATTATCCGATTCCATGATTCTGTGTAAGCTGTTCCCTCTGCCTACAATTCCAGCATTCCCAAGGGTCCCTTCTCCCATGGCTCTCTCCAGCAAACTCCTCCTTAAACTCCAGCAAATCAGTCCAGGGGCCTTATCCTTCAGAGACCCTCCCTAGGATCCAGATTGGCTTAAGTATTCTTCTATACTTCCATCTCAATTTTCACTTACTATTTTATAGAGTATATCTTATAAGTCTATTTCTGCCCCCATTAGACCATGAACTATTCAAAATTAAGAACCGTGGCTTATTCATCTTTGTATCCCAAAGGTCAATGATATGTCTCCGGCACCTTGAAGTTTACACAAATTGTTTGGGGAACTGAACCCACCTCCAAAGTGGTGCCTGAAGGGCATACATACCCTTCAGCAGTCCTGTCCCCACATGCACAGTGGTTACTGGTTTGCATTTTCTTCATTGTGAAATGGGATTAAATTAAACTCCTTTGTAATAGCTTTGGCAAGAAAGGTATGCAGGTTAGGCCTTTCATTTTGCTGTTGAATCACTAGTAGTAACACTTCAATATAAAAGTTCCAATCAGCTAGACCTCCACAAGTACTTCTTTCCCTGCTTTTTGTTTACACATCTTACAAAAGCCTATTTAAAAGCCTTAGTAATACCAGGATTCACACGTGGGGAGAAAAACAAGCACCGTTGCTTCCAATCTCTGTACAGGCTTGACAAACCCTAATGGGAGTATTGGCTTTACTTACAATTTATTCTTTATAAATCCCTGTTATGACTTCTCAGAGCTTTTTTACTCTTCTTTAGCATCTGTTTTTTGTTTACAACTAGTGACAGACCTACTCTGAATGAACTCTTGGGCCTGCCTCTGTGGACAAGATTATTTATGTACCATACCAAAACACAAACACACTGGTTCCTGCCCTACTTCATGGGCAAGTCTGGGAGAGGCTCACCTGATGCTGTGCCAGATTTTAGATAAACACTTTTTTTCTCAGTTTACATTTTCCAA